GGCAAACGCATTTATACTGTGAAGAAAAAAAAAAAAAAGTTACTGTGGGAGGCACAGGCTGAAATTTTCCACTTCAGCTGCTAGTTCTCCATAAACTCCAAACAACACCTTCTAAAATTTACTGTGAACGTGCTTCCAGAATGAAACCAAGAAGGCTGCTGAAGAACTCTGGCTATTGAAAGCAAAATCACAATTAGTAATTTCCTGGAGGAACTATGAAGATTCACACCAGGTGAGGATCTGTCCTTGGCCATTGGCCTGAAAGACTGAACTGAAGCTAGCAGCACTTCTCAGTCAGTTCTGCCAACTCCCTCTCAGTTGTCATTGGTGGCGTTTTTTTGTTGGTGTTTTTTGTTTGTTTTGGTTTTTAAACCTCAGACAAAAAATGTATATTCATACATTTTAAATATCTGACTTTTTACAGATTTAACTGCAAAGTTACACTCTTCTACTCTTCACATGTGTGGGAATATCCTTTGGAAAAAGGTCCTTCTTATTCTGAATAACTAGTAAAAAGTGTAAGTCTTGTTTTCTTGAACAGATGCCCAGCAATACTGTACTAGCACAAGACTGCTAGTTTGGAAAACAATACATCTTAAGTAGAGTGATTTTGCATTTGGGTTAATCATTATAGTATAGATTTCTTTTGCAAAGAGACACCTTTACCTGCATTCCTTGGTTGTTCTGGACCTTTCTGTTCATGAAAAACAGCTGTAAAATTACTTACATGTCTTTAAAGCCAATATCTGGAGAAAAAATATATTTTTCTCAATGACAAGAAGCTGTTGACTCTTAACACTGAACACATTTAAAATGACTTATTTTCCAAGGAGTTAAAATTATCACAAATTTTGATTTTCCAATTTTTATCACTATGCACTGGTTGAGAATAGTTCTAAATATAAAAGTACCAAGAATGTTTGAAAAAGTCCTCCCATATGGAAATTAGAAATAAAAACAACCTATGGATACCTTCTGTCCTACTGCAATTTTTGAATTTGAAAACTTCAATCTATCAGTGTCAGCATTTGAGGTTTCTTGTCACTGACTACATTAAGTACCTCATTAGCAACCAGAAATCCTAGCTTGTAGGTGCAGAAAAATCACAGATTCATTTATGATCCATTCTGAAAAAATGAGAAGATAAGAAGGAAAAAAAAAAAAAAAAAGTCTGGCATTTAAGAAACCTTAACACCAGGAAGAGAAGGTAAATGTCATGGGAAGAGGGATGAGTTATGAAAGGCAAGGCACAACTTTAACTGAAAAGGTTGAAAAGCTAAGGAAACTGCCAGTCTTCCCTCTTGCATAGCAGACATTTTGCTAGTTCCACATTACATTACAAAACTTAATCCCTTTGGCATTACCCCACTGCTTGGCCTCCCTCTGAATTCTCTGAATCCTTTCTGCACAGAGGAACGATACCTTCAGCTCCTGCAGAAAGTACACCCAAAGGGCTTTCAAGTGCCCTGGAAACCAGACACAAATCGGAACTAACTAGCCATTCTTACACTCTCTTGTAACATTAAAGATGCATACAATCGCTCCTTTCTAACTTAGAACTAAGCCTCCACCTTACTGAAAATAAACTGAGCTCCCTTGTTCCCTATGTGGCTTAAAAATAAAGCAGGTTCTTCCTGACATAAAAACAAATAGTGACAGAAGACCTTGCAAACCAGCCCTCCACAACATCTCAACCACAAGAGCAACAGAAGCACGCTGGCACTCTGACAATCTGGGAACATTTTCAACAGGGAATGAGACACCCCTGTAAGCAACAACTGGCTTTCCAAGCCCTCTCCTCCCACCACCCTGAAGCAACCCACACATACTTATATTGGACATGGAGAAAAAGAAAAGTTATTCCCTGTCTTCAGGTTAAACTTCCCTTGTGCACCTAAGATTGGTTGAGCTCTCTCATGACAAAGTAGAACTCGTGCAAAAGAGCTCAGACATTGTCATCAGATACATTATCATCTGTATCTGGTCCAAACAAGCCTCCCCTGCCTGAGAGGGAGAAAGGTCCCGAATTATTACTGCACTCTCTTACACTACCTGAGACACAATTTTCTTTTTCTTTATTGACACAGAAATTCACTAAGAATTGAGACAAATGTGGCAGCAGGTTCTCAGGTGGAATAAATTGCCCTGTCTTCACTAGAACCACTGGATTTCCTATTTCAATGAGAAATGAGAATATTTCTTGTTTCAATGAGAACATGAACACTTCTAAAACTCCAACTGCATTAAAATGATTTCAACTTCTTGTGAATCATTGTTTGAGTAGGTCACAAGTTCCTCAAATGTGTAATAGGCTTGTGGTACATTCTGAGACACCAGCTGGAAAACATGCTATTATCTCATTATCTGCCACCTTGCACTCTTCAGGAGTTTTATTCTACTTCTTGTAAGAAGAGAAAATAGAAAACTAAGTAATTTCAAGCTATGCCATTGTTGGTTCAGAGGTTAAAACCGAGTTCATCGGCTCTAACAATATTCTGTATGTTCACCTAGAAATACTGAGGCATGTTACTGAACACAAGTGTAAACCACTTTTGGAAAAGAAAAGCTTCTATCCCCACTATTATAATCTAGAGGTCAGGCCTGCAGCTCTTCTTGAATTAAACAGCACCATGTGATTTAAAGCTGCTGAGAGTGTGCTCCTTTAGGATACAAATAGCCTTTGGCTTCCACCAACATCAGCAAGTACATCCAAAACTTAGGGATTGTTTCTGAGCATCTGGTGCTCTCCTTGATTGTATCCTGTCTCCATTCTGGAAGAAGAACCAGAGTACATGCCACACTATTTGGCTTCTTACTGGAAAGGGTCTTGGACATGAGGGCAAGTCAGAATCCACAGGTGGGCTTCTGGGAGACCAGGACTGGTAGTGCTTTGTGTGCATCTATTTCCCAGATTCTACTTCAAATGAAGAAAAACCAGATACTTGTACTTCAGACTCAGTGTGAAACAAAGGTTAGCCTTTACAAAATAGTTCCTGCAATATTAACCTAGAAGTCCCTCAGGGCAGAGGTCTGTGCTATAATTTACTTTGAAAAGATGGATGGATAATATGGAAAAAGAATTACAGGTAGGCCTGTGTTCTCCACAGCAAACTATACCTATTTTCTCTGGCAGCACAATTTACAGTGCACCTTTTGGGAAATCAGCAACTTCTGTAGCAGCACCTCAAATTTCAATATGGAAGCAAAGAGGTATTTGAGTGAAGAAATACACGATGGAAGAAGATGTTAGATGAAGCTAGACAGTATCTCAACAGTTGTAGCACTTTCCACAGGGAAGACAGTCTGGAAACCTGTACTGGCATAAAGGGTATGTCAAAAGCACCAAGAAAAATAAAAATAAATTAATTGCTTCCCTGATACCCTGGTGCTCTTTGCTTGATCTATACACAACTTAATGCTTAAGCCATAAAACTAGCTTTTAGTCCAAGCACTTGTAGCTGGGATTTCATATAGTCTGGGATCTTTTTCTAATTCAAGCTTGCTAATTTGATTTTTATAATACTTTTTCTCCCTATTTAAACACAGCTGCATTTAGAGAAACGGCTCAGTAGCATTTGTTTAGTTCTTACACACAGATGGCTAGTTTAGAGCAGTGGGAATCTTCTGAACATGGTGACGGACTCTCTTTGACTTTAAAGACCCTCACAGAATCTGTGACCCTGAAGACCTGGTCTTGAACAGAAGGAAGACACTGTTGAAGAATGAGTGAGTTTGGTTCAGAGGTCAAAAAGGAGATTACAAATGAAACAAAACAGAACAAATATAAATATATATATATATATATATATATATATATATATATCTTTCCTATCTATTATACATATTATTAACAATAGGGCCCAATAAACCAAAACAGAAAGAAGAAAAAATAACCTACAATGTGCTAAAACACAAGGTAGTACCTTTAAGAGGCTTTGATTTTGGTTCTCTTGAATCTTTATTTTGAAAAGAAAATAGGACTAACTTCCTGATCACAGCAGATATTTCAGAGTCTCAGAATCTTGACTTATTCTTCCAAAACACTTTGGATTTTGTCAATCCAAAATGCATTGCAATTTTTCAAGATAAAGTATCATCACACCTGTTTAAAACTTCATAAATTCAAATAGGTAGTAATCATATCTGCAGTGATTGCTAAGCATATAATCTTCCTTCTCAGAAGCATTCAGGAATCAAAAACACATGGCATGGGCTACAATTCTGTCATCTCTCATAAAAAAATAAAAATGACCATGAGTGTTTAGGGAGATCTTAATGAAAAAAATCACTGTGTGTTTCACAGTTCTGGGACAGACAGAAACTTCTGATGCTTTACCCTGTGGCTGAAGCTGATTTACAACCAGTGAAGCTTCAGTTTGCTTCCAAATGAATAGGGCTAATTAGTTCCTGATGCGACAGAAAACATCTTCTCCCATATCTGAATATTTGGGAAAAGTGCATTCATTTGGCTTTTATATTCTCCCACACATGACAAAAAAAAAAAAACAAAAACAAAACCTCAAGAGAGGATAATATTCTGACTGTTTCCGTATGCTGTACTGTGCCTTCGCTGTTCCATCAAGCAAAGGGACAGAACAATTGCCACAGAAACAGCTGGGATTTTGACCCTTAAAATAAGTAGATGGCTGTTGTGCTGCTCCATGGTCTCAAGGCAGACAATTCAACTTCAGTGACAGTGGTAAGTGGGGGTCACAAACCAGGCAAACCTTGCCTGGTTCTTTCGCTTTGCTGTGCCCCTGACTGTTTTATTTCCCTCTGTTTCTGCAACCTGAAAGAACTGGCTGGTCTTATATTACAGGCAAATGTATGTAAAAAGAGGAAATTTGTCTTTCTCGTGTATTCTTCACAAAAGAGACATCAAATGCACTGAGACAAAAGAAGGGTTGGAAATACAGTTATAAAGCTCTCTGGAATTCCACATTTTCAAAAAGGTGTTAAAAATATGTTACAGTTTCTTAGCAAACTGGAAGAGTACTTACTGTCAGTCCTTGTTCGCCTGTTTTTCCAGGCTCACCCTTTAAAAAAAAAAAAAGTGTGAATAATTTCAGTAGCATGTCTTGAATTCATTGCTTTACCTCATAACATTGACTTTAAAAATTCCATTCTTTAACAGGTATGGCAACTTACTACACATTATATATATATATATACACATATACACATTGCTTTTTAAAGTAATAGGCCAAATCACACGTATTTTAAGAGGCAAAGTACTATTTCACCATCTTTTAATGGTGTAGTTCTCCAGGCAACAGTCAAACACTGGTGTCCTGATTCCCTGCCCCTTGGTTCCAACCATAATATTCCACTCCAGTGAATTGTGCTAAAGAACACAGAGAAAGGTTATTTTCACATGTGTGCTGAATCCCACTGTTTACATATTCCAAAATTACTGAGTGTTCTGTGTCATCACCACAGTCAGCATGCATAACTTACCGTTGCAGATTATCGTATCGTGTAAACCCATGAATATTGAGATTTTGAAGGCATGCGATAATTACTCATCTGTTAAATACCTGGACTGCTTTTCAAAATGGTAACCCATCATTTTTCCAGTTTAGCCTTTCTGCAGGCACAGATCTACATAAAGTCAGAACCTATCTTCTCCCTTTTCCTCTCATATGAACACATACAACTGTCTGTCGAGACAGTAAACTAGATCAGTCATACGATATGGGCTAAAGATATCTATCCAAAAAAACACAGTTCCTATCATTTTTATTTATCTAGTTTACAGATCACTCCCTTGTAAACCCAAATGTGCACAGGGCAATCCATGCGCTTTTTTATCAGTGCAGCTGCAGGAACATCTTTACCAGCTTTGTCATAAAAGAAAACCTGTCAAAACCAGATGGGAACTGTTTTGATGCTGCTGTTCTTGGCAACTGAACAGAATCAGAGCTGCTACTCTGGGTAGGTGCGCATTCAGAAGCACAAATGTAGCATCTGCAAACACACTGAGAAACCAGTGAGAGAGAAGCCACACAAGCACAGGTTTCAGACAGCAAATTATCTAAGCTGGTTGGACTTTTTGCTCCCTCTGAAACCTTGCTAGCTGACTTACACAGCAATCTCACAATGGCTGCTGGAGTTGCTCACCTGGGCCCTTTGGGACATGAGCGCAGGACTTTCTCAGGACACACAGCAAGTGTATTTGTATGGGGAAAGGCAGGGGCCAAAACATTTTCTTGCAGCCCTGGTGATTATAAGCTCCTCGCTAACAAGGAAATACTTGCTTAAGGAAATTACTGCCTTATACTGGCCATGGTAAGGACTTTCTCCTCTAGCTTTGTAATGCTGCAACGTCCCTACCTGTAACACAGTATAGCTACTGTTTTGTTGTTCACCTCTTCGGCTAAAAGGTCTGCACAAGCCTTTTAAAAATACAAAGCTGTCACTGCCTCTGGGACAAGTATTCCCTTTACTGCTCTCCTGCTTGACTGTGTATCAATCATGCAGCCATGGAAGAACAAGCCTTTCAAGGATCAGCAATTTAACCTGTGGATACAGGACACTGAGAAGAAGGAAGATGGTAACAACAGTCAGCAATCTAGTTGGTTTCTGAGTCCTTGCTGTATCTGATTCTAAATCTGTACTATAAACTGATTTTCCAAGGGCTTAAGATAGCCACAGCTGGGGAAAAAAAGAAAAGAAAAAAACTATAAAAAGAAACCCTCTCTTGCCATCTAAAGTCAAAATCACTACAGAACTATTATAACATGGCATGACCTCATTGCATAAAATACATTACTTCCCTGTTATGAGAAACACTAATGTTCCCTTTGCTAAGCAGCAAAAAAACCCAAGCAACCCACAGTCAGATTGTGACCAGCAACACCAGCTGATTCTTCTAGTCTCTTATATGTGAATTATAAAAGTGTTGTCACTGCAGTCAGAAATTTGGTTGTGACTTCAGCCTCAGCCCTAACTACTTTAAACCAGAAGAAACTCTGCTGAATGCAGTCAATTTTACTGTATTAAAAGACTAACAAGAAATAACTTGATGGCCAAAGTAAAGCATTGTAGCGAAAGCAACAGACTTCTAATGTCATTCCGTAACCTTGTGCCAGAACTTGGCAAAGCAATGAGAACCTAGTGGTTTTTTTTTTGTTTGTTTTGTTTTTTCAAAACAAACAAACAACAACAAAAAAAAACCACTAGTGTACTACAGGCCTCAAGGGACATTTCAGACTTGTGATGTGTCCCCTGCCTATCACTCAGTTTCCACACTGATAATACAACGGCATTTGTGATGAACAGAGAGGTATTTCTTTCAAACAAATAATAAAAAAGCGGTCACAAACTATAAAACTAATATACTCGTATTTCCACAAAAAAAAAGTAAAAAAAAAAAATAAATAAAAAAGTCCTGCATTTATACATCTGTTTACATGTTTTGTAACTCTTCAATGATTAAGTGATCATCATGAAGTGCTATGGGTTGTGAGTCTGATCCAGTGCCTAAAACAAACAATAAGCAATATACTGTATTCTGCTGGTAGTTCTAATGAAATACAGGGGATGAGACAAATAAAATGGTGCTGTTATAGTTGTGTAAAGATGGCAGAATCTCACTCCAACATTTATCATACTTTGGGTGGCATTTAGCAGTTTATTACTATAATTATATAATTTGAGGCTAAATCATTAGGAAGCAAGAATCCAAGCCAGTCCATGTAAAGTCTCAAATTCAGCTTTATCTTGAAGTCTGAGCAGCAACATTTGCTGCTTGTAGAGTGGGGCAGACCCTCCTCACACAGCTATTAAAACATCAATGAGCAACTCAGAAACCTTAGAAGGTGTGGGGAAAACTGTCAGGGGTGGGAGAGAAGAAACCTAGGTGTTACTCTTGGCCCTGCTATGAACTTGCTGTGTGTGGTGGGGGGACTTCAGGTACACTGTGAAATTTGTCTGTGGTTCAGCCTCCACGTGTCTTATTTGCCAATCTTCACAAACCATCTTTGAAACTGAGCTGGCACATACTTGAGAGGAATTTGGACACCAACAGACTAACTCACCGGAATACCAGGCATCCCTCGAGGACCATCTTTGCCAGTATCTCCTGGGGGACCTCTGGGTCCTGGTGGCCCTGGAGGTCCAGGGGGTCCAGCTTGTCCTTGGTCCCCCTAAACCAGCAGAAAAAAATCATCATCAGAAGTTTGCTTTCAAGGCACCAACCACACTAAAAGACATTGTTTCCCAGAAAGAATGCAAGATAAGCTGGAAGGAGCTGCCATGAGCTAGACACTGGCATCCTTCACTCCTTATGGCAAAGACAGCACTTTGCCTTGAAGACCAGTGGGCTGTACCTGTCCCGTGAAATCAGCCACAGAGCAGAAGGCTTGCATTCTATACAGCTTGTCCTACTACAGGACATGCACTAAAATTTGGGGTAGCTTTGCAATATTTTACTCATCCACTTTTCCAGAGTGAGTAACTGTTTTCCATAAGCAGCTCTTCACTTCGTGATTGGCACAATCGCGACAACGCTGAAGTTAAAGCAAAAACAAAAACAAAAAATTCACCTACAAGAATTAGACGGCTCGCTTGGCAGCTTTCCAAGGCCCATCAGTGATACGTGGACAAACTTCAAACATGACCATGGAAAATAAAACCCCCAAAGTTTTCATCTGTTTTGGGGAGCTCTTTTATAGTTATAATCAGCCAAACCCCTTTAATGATTTGGACCTAATAATTTGTAAAAGACATTTTCTAAGAAAGTTTCAAAACATATTACCATTCCCTTTTATAAAACACCAGAAATGGTGCTCAACTACATTAATTTCCAGCATACCACCACAAACCACTGAAAGAGCTGACTGCATCTTAAATGTGGACAACTCAGCAAAGCTACCCATTGTATTTTAAGCATTAATTTCATTTATACTTCCTTAAATTCCAGAGCATTTTCAAATTAACAACCTGCTATAAGAAGGCATCTGACAAAAAGGTGCAGCAGAAAGTAAACTGAATGTAAAGAAGAACCAGACTCGAGTGAGATGAAGCACTACCTTAATGAGGCGGCGTTTAATGAGCTGCTGATCAGCAGACAGAAACCCATGATTGATTTTAGGAAACACCATCTGATCAGGCAGGTGAGGTCAAAAGTTGAAGATCAGAGATGAGAGAATTGAAGAATAGACATCAGAAGGCCCGAGAAAGAAATAAAGATATATTCATTAGACTTGTAATAGTTAAAATTATATAAACTGGTGCTTCTGTCTGATAGAAGCTGTGCTTTTTCCTTCGAAGAAAATGCCCTCTAAAGTACAGGACATACTGCTTTAATGAATTAATCATATGTAATTAACTGCGTAACTTTTTTCTCCACAGCTTTCTTAGGAGAATTCTTCACTTTTATTTTTATTTTTCATTATCCAGGCTCTGAGGATCAGTATCTTTATATGCTGTTTTCAGCAAAGCTTCTAGAGACAAAGCACCAGTTCAACTTTCAGTCAGATTTTCTAACCAGCATATTGTGCCATGAAGAATGGTATCGTTTGAATAAGGACTGGAGCTCCAGCTTGACCAGATTGCTTCAGTCCTTCCTGCTTAATTTGCAAATGCACTTGGAAAAATCAGCACATACAGATTAAACTTCAGATAGCTAACACAGGTAACTCACTCTCTATATAACCAGGTTCACTGACGTTTTCCACACTCCTGTATGCCTCAGGGAAGCAGAACTACAGAAAAAAAAATTTCATCCGAAAATAAAATACTGATCAAGAGCACATGGAAAGCGTGTGCTACCGGTGGTAACACTGTACACAGCTATGGATTTGATCCCACGTTTTGCATCAGGAATGCTTACACCAAGGCAAAGGCAGTGAGGGTTTACTTAGGCCCACTATAAGGATTCATGGCTATCCCATGGTAAAAATGATTATTTCATGTGCACTTTTATGCTGATACAGAGAGACCTGACTGAACAGGTACGTGTCAGCCACAAACCTTGACGGTGAGGATCTGATTACTGTGCAGAGCAGCGACTGTGGGGAAGCCTGGCAGACCCTAGGGACACAGCATAACATGGTACCAAAACAGCACAACACAAACAGCACAGAGACAATTTACTAACAGACAAACAGAACGAACACCATGTTTAGTATACCCCACATTGCCTACTGACAGGGAACAGCCTCTCTGTCATACGGGAAACAGAATTAGGTTTGCACTACGCTGCACATGTAGGTTGTTACTTCACAACATTATAAACAGATTTTAGAAGGAGCAGTTGCTCAGAGGTGACTTTTCTTGAAATTACAATGAATTGTTATGATCGTTTGACAGTTGTTAGGCTATCGGCCAGCTGATGACTGAGCCATTTCCAACCAAATGTTCTACAACACTTCAAGAGAGCTATGCAGAAATCTTGGATTCTGGATTGCCGCAAAAGTTGACAGCTGTGACAGTGGATTTTGAGGCATTTTGTGGAATTACCATCCTGCTCCTCATGTTCTGTTTAACATATGACATTCAGCACATAAACTGGTAATACAAACACAATTATAAACACTGAACAACAATCTACTACTAGATCTGGGGGAGTCCACAGTGGCCACAATCAACGTTTTCAACACATACATAACCAGGGCAAAATTTTTCCCATCAAGTGCTGTATGCTGCATGTGGTCTCTCACAATCTACTCTACCAAGATGTGCAGAACTTATACTGGTACAAAAACAAAACAAAAAAGTGGTAATCATGGCCTGGTGTGGCAATACAGGGGGTGAATTTTACTCTCAGTTCAACACCCTTCTTGTGCTGCATTCTAGGGTGCAAATCAGACCTCTTGATAAAGCTGAAGTTTTGTGAGGTTGAGAAGTATGTTCCTAAAATAAGAAATCCTCCAGGCACAGCACACTATCTGAAGCAGAGGTTCTCAAAGGTTTGCTCATGGAGAGCCAGAAAATGTCTGAGACACATCAGGCTGAGGCATACAGTCTTGTGCCTCTAAACTCCCTATGTGCACACATGCATACGTGCCACCTCTGTGAGAAGGAGCTGGTGGCACAGCCCCCTGCAAGACCTGCAGGGTGGCAGTTTGGCTCCTATGAAAGGAAAGGCTGCACCTGGCTCTGACCACCAGACAAGGTGGCTTCCAAGAAGTCCTGCATGAAAGCCCTGATGGTGCAGCCCACAGAGCCATGGGGCAGGCATGGTGCACGAGCCCCCTGCAGCTCAGCTGGCCTCGTGGAAAGCACCAACAGGAAAGAGCAGCCTGATAGCTGCAGCAGAGTCATCATTACAAGTATTTGCTCTGTGCATCTCCACCTGCAATGACAACAAAGATCCTCTGGTTCACAAAGATCATACTGGTCTTTCCAAAGGGGGGAAAAAAAAAAGAAAAAGCAGAGTTATATTCTGATGTGTACAACATGTCCTTCACTAGTGCCTTTGAGATGCATTAAGCATCTTCGGTCTTGATGTGCTGTGAGATAAGAGGAAGCTGAGACCCTGCAAGTGGATCCCATCAAGTCAGAGGCAGTTTTACCAGCCTTCCCACTTTGGAACGGGGTGTGGCTAACTGCATTGGTTGGTGACCTGAAATCTCCTCTTTAGAAACAAATAAAAAGAAAACAAAACCAAAAAAGGCTAAGCCACCAAACATTTTAAGAGACTCATTCCCGAAACACTGCTAAGACAGGAATGATACATCATTTAGAAAACAGATGTATCAAATATTCATTTATCTTATTATGGAATATAAATTTAAGAAATTATTAGATGGTAATGTGCCAGAATCTTTACATCTGTGATTCATTAGTCCTGCTGTGCCCATGGTTCGTTCCTCTTCTAGATAAAACTACAATACCCATGTAATGGAAATGAGTACAAACAAGAAACCTACAAAAGATCTAAAATTTAAGCAGCATGCAATATATTTAAAATCTCATTTATTAAAAAGGGGATTACCAGAAAATCTTTTAACCAGTTCATTCTTATTCATTAGCCTTTAGGATTACTGCATGGTTATTTTCATAGTTACCACTATATGTAGCATAATTTCAATTTGACATTTTGGAGAACAAAAGGGAAAACTAAATCTCATTATTACATTTATTTCATGTTGAATACAAAGGAAAGAGAAAATAATTAAGAAAGGAGATACTCTGAAAACACAGTTTTGATTTTAAAAATCTTGCTGAGAATAAAAGAAAGAGTTTTGAAAGTTTTGCGTAGCTCCACACAGGAACACTTCCATAGAGCACTTCACAGTCCATTCCCAATGCTTCCCAATACCACACAGGCAAGTTCAAGAGTAGTTATCAGCACCTCAGGTTTCTGCTCACCTTATGAGAAAGAGAACCCACCCCCTCTTCAGCAACAGCCTTTTCCAACATATTCTCAAGTGGGAAAAAGCCATCTTTCTTTTGTCCAAAGGAAACAATTTCATAGAATTATAGAATGGTTTGGGTTGGAAGGGACCTTAAAAATCATACAGTTCCAACCCTGTGCCATGGGCAGGGACACCTCCCACCAGACCATGTTTCCCAAAGTCCCATCCAGCCTGGCCTTGAACAGCTTCAGGGATGGGGCACCCACAACTTCTCTGGGCAACCTGTTCCAGTGCCTCACTGCCCTCACAGTGAAGAATTTCCTCCTTATATCTCATCTAAAACTACCCTCCTGTAGTTTAAAGCCATTATCCTATCACTCCACTCCCTGACGAGAGTCCCTCCCCAGCTTTCCATTAGGCCCCTTTTAGGTACTGGAAGGCCGCTGTAAGGTCTGCCCAGAGCCTTCTCTTCTCCAGGCTGAACAACTCCAACTCCTGCAGCCTGTCTTCACAGGAGAGGTGCTCTAGCCCTTTGATCATCCTCCTTGCCCTACTCTGGACTCATCCTCATACTTCCATGTTCTTTTTGTGCTGGGGGGCCCAGAGCTGAATGCATTAGGTCTGATCTCTCTCTAATGGTCAGAAAAACGCAGTGCTGGCTTGGACCTAGATCGTCTCCCCATATGCAACATGCACTTCAGGAGAAGGCCAGAAATACAGGAGTATAAAGTGGAACCCAGCAAAGAAATTATAACAAGTGCATAGTTTTTGCATGCGTGGGAGGCTTTAGAAGGCATTGCATCTTCTGGCATCCATGAAGGATAATGTTGGCAAACAATGAGCTTCAAAAAAGGCATAAAAAGATCTATCCTTCCCACAACATGAGTTCTCTTCCTTTCCTGTCACTCTGCTATAAATATAGCCTCAAATATCCCCTAGATCTGTTTTATTTTTTCTCTATCTAAAGTTGTTCTCAACGATGGATTCAAAGTTACTCAATTTTCTCTTTATTTGGTTTGATTCTTCAACTGCACATAGGAAGGGCTCTTGTTCTACACCCTGGGAGGCCCTCACAGAGTACAAAACACTACAATGATCAACAGCGACCACTGGCCCACTAAATTCTGTTGCTGACAGCAACTCAAGCTTACCCCGAAACACTAGCTGGTTACAATTTCTACATTAACACATTTGTTGCACAACCCGCTGTAATTTTTGCCCAAACTCCAAGCAAAAAGTGATGCTAGGTGGAAGCTTACAGGCCTGTGACCATATTATGCAGTGTCCTGCTTACCTGCCTGGAAACACAGGTAAAGCCTACTCATTCCCATACAACAGACACAGAGAACACCGAAGGATGGCAGAACCTCACATCATTGCCTCTGATTTCCTACTCAGGTGAAATAATTTTCCTCTGACATCCATCACAGTCTCCAAAGATGCCATTCCCACTAGCGGTCCTAGGCATTTCCTAGTACACTCAGTTTTACGCATCGGTCTATGCAAGGCCAAGACTACAAGGTTATCATAACCTTGTTGATTGGCAGGTATAACAACAAACGTTACGTTAGTGGTTTTATACTGCACTGCATACACACCCTTTTGACTACTGCATTTGCTTAGCACAGTAAATGTCACAGTCCTCCTTAGGATTTTCCTTCTGACCTGCCAATAAACCCAAGCTGCACAAGCTTACATGTTCCTGTGAAGACATGGTAAATGAGACAGGAATTACCACCTGCTGTTCACTTGCACTTCCTAAGGTTACAGCCAGCTGCTGCTATTTCACATCAAATCAC